TTTTGACCCTATAATTTATTTTAATACGCCAGTTATATATTTATACATTTATTTCCAATAATGATAGGTTTGGTCCTCCATATCTAGGCTACAGGACATACACCAGGGTAAGGGAGGGAGGCTAGACTGTCCAAAATCAAAGCAACTTTCTTCTGGTCTTCATGGCCAACAAGGGAGCCGGCCCACATTGACTGGGTAGGCCGGGTCCTTTGAAGGTGAAGCCCCTGAATTTGGACACAGCCTTTGAGGAGTTAACTTGGGTCAAGACAACTGCCACTGCAAATTCACTTTAGAAAGCACAAAAAATGCTACAACAGTGAGTTTTACATATATTAAGCTAAATCCACCCCATCACAGACTTGAGGTCTAAAAGATATTATAAGATCTTTGACCTGTGACATGCCCAGTGCTGCATCATAAGCACTCTTTTAAGGAATGTTTATTTGATTTAGATTGTTTCTTGGATGTTTTCCATGCTTTTTCTGGACTTGTGTAGATCACCTTGTTTGCAAATTGGTTTTTTTCCCAACATCTTGCTAAAAAACTCCATAGAGAAAAGCAGCTGCCCATCTGCCAACACACATTCAATGGCCTGTTTACAGAAATGTCATTAAAAATAATGAAGTAAAAATTAGACAATAAGTCAAAACTAAGACTAAAGTTTGGCTTAAACAAACTGCAGTTCATAACTGGTATGATTTTTACTCAGTATTAATTAACTACACGRCCTACAGCAAGGTGCAGGTGGAGAATCTCAGTAGAAATAGGCTCAGACCCAGCAGATCTGACCCACTTAGATGCTGTCCTACATAAGTCTGGCATCACCACTGCAATGGACTCAAAAACCTGCTGACAACAAGCAGTGTTTAAATGTGAGATAAATCGCATTCAAAGTGCTGTGCAGTGAAGTCATCCCGTAACAATGTTGGCCAACTTTCCTTRACTCTGCTTATGCAATCCAGTTTCTTTTGTTTGGAGGTAAACTCTGTCGGTACCTGGCTGGATGGATGTGACACGAGCTCCTGTCGAGTCCCAGGCTGCGTGAAAACCAAAGTCTCTGCTGCTGTTTGGCTTCTGCTTCAGACTAATCCGCATGTCACAGAAGTCCTCCTGGAAACAACACAGGCAACTAGAAATGAACTTACTAACGGAGAGATGATAGATGTTGTTCTAAAGCTACATGTGATGTGTCAGGTTGTTTCCTTGTACTGACAGGAGAAAGCTTGTATTCATCATTTATGATTGTTGATTAAATGGCAACTTGTCTTTATGATTAAAGATATTTAATATGTCAAAATAGCTGCTTTGTTCAACAGAAGGGAAAGTGAGTACCTTGCTGGTGTCTTTGGCTGGAGCAGAAATGACTGGAGCTTCACTCTTGGCACTCGACAAGACAGATGAGATGTTCTGAGTTGCTGGGATGCTTTCTGCTTTGGTCCCCTCCTCCCCTTCCTCCTCCTCCTCTTCACTGCTGTGAGCTGAGCTGGACTGAGCATCATCCTCAGTCAYAAACTGTTGATACCGGCTTGGCACTGATGTCATCTTAGAAACGCTGACATCACCATTGACACGTTTGCTGGTGTCGTCCACCTGTTGAGAAATAATGTGACTCGTCAGACGAAGCCTCAAGAACAACAAAATGGGAAATTAATATTAATATCGCTRGGATGTTAATATCTGCAAAAATGAAAAAAGAATGAAAAGCTTTAAAAAGGGGCAATATCATGTAAAATCAACTTTTTTGAGTTTTATATCATGTTATAATGTTATACTCTCATAAAAACATGCCCAAAGCCTTGCTC